GGAAAAGGTGAATGACTCCACGTTTTTAGCCTTGAGTGGCTAGTGAAGTACTAGAGAACAGGCTTGATGGACAAGGAAATGGGTTCAGTTTTGGTCATACATTGAATTTAGCCATAGCATTTACCTTTAAAACCTTAACTATTATGACATGTTAAAGTGAACTTTAAAAAATACTGTGCTAGTCAAGTTTATTTTAAATTAAGCCACTCCATTAACAGCTATTGCTTCAATCTCATATTGTGTGGAAAACTTGGAATTAAAAATGATTTTAAATTCATGCATAAGAGAGTGATATGTAAATGAACCTTTTACACTTGCACAAATGAGAAGTGAAGCAATAGCTATCAATGGATTGGTTCCATTAGCATAAGAACTTTGCGAAAAGTTCCATGATGGTAGCTTCAGAGAGAAAGTAAGTTTTTTCCAATTATTTCCATTTTATTTTTCTCATCCAATTGATTGATTTAAAAAGCATTTAGAAGTTCATTTTTTCAAAAGTAAAACATCTTTCTGGATTATGAATGCTATTGTAAATTTATTTTAATATTTCTTCATTGGAGGGGAAATTTGTAGATTTGGTGAATATACAAATACTAATTTCGGTAGACTGTAATGTTATGGTAAAAACAAAGTTCTTATTAAATTAAGTTGATGGAGCAGAACTATACTTTTAATTGGTATGGTGCATACATAATTCATAAACGCACCAAAAAAAAACCAAAAACAAAACTGTTAAAGTCTACCAATTAAAAAAATAGAAACTATAAATTTCTATTTCCAGCCAAGATGTAGTAACAGGGACCGGATTTACTTTTCCTACAACAAATCAATGTTCCCAGCTTTCACTTCAAGAAACTGGAAAAAGAATAGCAAATTAAATCTAAAATAAGAAGATGAAGTAATAAAGGTCACAGTTGAAATTAATGAAACAGAAAAGTGAAAAATAGTAGAGAAAATCAATGAAACCAAAAACTCGTTTCTCAGAGGTCAATAAAACGGATAAACCTCAAGCAAGAGTGATCAGAAAAAAACCGAGCCACAAATGAGCAATAGCAGAATAACATGATGTCACTGCAGTTTCTACAGATATTGAAAGGATAATAAGGGAATACTCTAAACATCTAAACATGTGCCAATAAACTTGACAGCTTAGAGGGAATGTACAAATTCCTTTAAAGACACAAATTACCAAAGCTCACTCAAGAAGAAATAACCAGTATAGCCTTATATTTATTAAATTTAATTGCAATTTGAAATCTTTTCACAGAGAACATTAGCTAAAATGGCTTCACTGGTAAATTCTATTAAATGTTTAAGGAGTAAGTAATGCCAATTCTACACAGACTTTACCAAAAAAATTTTGAGAAAGGAATACTTCCCAATTTATTCTTTGAGGGCCAGCATTATCCTAACACCCAAACCAGATAAAAACATTACAAGAAAAGGAAACTGCAGACCTATATTCATCATCCACATAGATGCAAAAATTCTAAACAATTTTAGCAAATCAAATTCAATGGCATATTAAATGGACAGTATATCATGACTGAATGGAATTTATCCCCGGAACTTAGGGTTGGTTTAACATTCGAGATTCAATATAATTCATCATATTAACAAACCAAACAAAAACCATATGATTATATCAATAGATATGAAAAGCATTGGACAAAATCCAACATCTGTTAAGGATTAGGAAGTGTTAAATTTTACCCTGCTTGCCGGCTAACAAGTTAGCCTGCCACTGTTTCGTAGGTACTGGCAGACAACTTCTTCTTTGGTGATGATGTGCCTGGTCATGGTACACCAGGCAGCAGGAGACTTCCGTTTGCATTGGTTCTCCTGTCCTCCAAGTCAGGGGAGTAGAGATGGGACACAGTTGGATGCTGCACGTACGAGCCAGTGTCATAGCTGAGGAACTCTGAGCATAGGGAGCTCCCAGTTTTATAAAGAGACTAGCCAACCTGCTCAACCTTTGGCTCAGGAGAGGTATTATGGACAGCAGAAACGTCCGCCCCAGAGCGTCTTGTTTACTGTATTATATCCTTGAAAAGATAGTTCAGAACAAATCTGGGAATTCTTCTTAAAAGACCAGCAGAAAGAGGAGAAACCCATTGAGAATCGACTCTCAACAAAATGCATCCTTTCTACACTAAATATTCCTTCAGTCGATCTGAAGGAATCTGATCTGATCTGATCAACAGGGCTGGTACCAAGTCAGTTTAATTCATCTCATGGTGATTTTAAAAAGCCAGGTGGCTTTCTCAAATTTTTGTCCTGACTTTTCCTTTTGGTTTAAGGCCTTAACCCAGGTATGCAGGGTGTGTTGGCGACTGCAGAATCCACTTGGTTCCACTAGGGGGAAAGCTGGCAGAATTCACCTGAAACAGCTCTGGCCCATGAGTTGAGGCAAATATGAATTACTTTTGGGACCAACCTGGTGTTTCCTTAACATGAAGGTTAAGAACTTGAAGACAGTGCTGGAATTAGAACCCAGTTCTCTTCGATCCTTGCTTATTTCCCTTTCAATTATATCATGCATTGTTTGAACTTGAATGTACACAAGGGGATTGATTATTAGACAGTGTATGTAAGGGGATGGATGCTAACAGTTGAGTATGTTTTCCTTCAGTAAAGAGATGTGTATGTGTTTAACATAAGGTTATATAAACAATGTAACCCCTTGAAATTCTGCTTGTGCAAAAGATTTTGGGGCACTTTTATTCAGTGGATTTTTGTTGTTTTGATATAATATGTACGATGTTTTAATGTTTGGTCTTTTTACAGTTGATTTCCACTAGCAGTAACCAGTGTTAATAATCGCATTAGTGTCCCTTTTCAACACTCATAAATATAGGTTCATAAGGTTTTTTTTTTCCCAACTTGTTATATGCAAATATCTAGCAAAATGTCAGGATGTTTCTAGTTCTTCTATTGCAAACAGTGCAGTAACTCTCCTTGTGCATATATATTTAATGCAGAGTAGGTGGGCACTTAATAGGTATTTGATGAGCAGAGCCAATTGAGTCATGGAATGGAATGAATGCCCAGAGTCACATAGTGGGTTGACCCAACTTTTTTTTTTTTTTTAACCATTGGGTTTTGCAAGTGGTCTGTAGACTTCTCTAGTTTCACTTGAAAATAATCTGGAGTATTAGTGCCAGACTTTAGAGTCAGACATGGGTTTTAATTATATTTTTGGTATATGCCACCTGTAGTGAATTTAGGCAAGCCTCTTAACTCCCCTAACCCTCTTCAATATAATACTTGCCTTAGGTATTAGAGAAATCCTTAGAGTGTGCCAGGCACTACATTAAATGTATTTTGTGCATGATAAATTATCTCAGCTATTCCTTGAAACAACTCTCTAAGTATGGGGATCAGAGAGTGTAAATAGTCATACAGCCAGTAAATGGAGGAGCCAGCATTCAAACCCCGGCAGTTTGAAGGCCAAGCTCTTAACCCATTTCCCATTTGCCCTGAGAATACTCGCAGCACTTGTGGCTACAGCATTTACCCCCCAAGATAACTTGTGGATTATAGTCCTAACCTTACCCCTAAAGTTTGCCACACAATATCTAGCTTTTTTTTTTATTATTTTCGTATCACTCTAATTTATTGATAGTCTTTGGAAACAAATAACATCATTTTTATATATAGCATTCTGTTTTTAGTAGTGGTATTTCCATTTACAAAATATAGTCATTCTGGGTTGCTGAAAATGTCAAATTTTAGAAAACGTAGCATTCCTATGTGTGATGTTAACACCGTTCTCGAACAATTGTTAGCTAAAGTTTCATTTGATGAATCCAATTTATGTATGCATTTCTGTTACATTAGGATTAGAGACAAGTTCTGTTTAGAAATAACTAAGAACGGTTTTTATATTTTATTTTCACTTTGAAAACCTGTCAGATTTGCATTACCTTCAAAGAGTGTGTTTATGTAAGGTTAAATTAACACTGGCAGCCAGCTGCACTTTTTTTTTCTAAATGGGAAATGGGTTAAACAGTACACCATTACTATGACATGTGTGGCTAGAGCAGCATTTCTCAGCCTTGGCAATGTTTACATTTTAGGCCAGATATATCTGTTGTCAGGGCGTCCCTTGAATTAGCATCTCTGGCCTCTACTCTGTAGATGTCACTGCCCCCCAGGGTGACAATAGTGACAGAAAAATGTCTCCAGATATTGTAAAATGTTTCCGGGGGTGGGGGTGGGGGGACGGCGCGCAAAAAATCACCCTGGATGAGAACCACTGTCTTAGAGTAAGAACATGTTTTGGGGACTCTGAGGTAGTTGAAAATAAAATAAAATAGAAATTTAGGAAAAGGGTCAGGACTAAATATGTGATATAAAAGTCACGGTTAAGAAGTAGTTATTACCATTAAAAAACAAGTGCGCAGTAAGGAAAAAAAATGGGCTGAGAGCAGAGCTGGGGAAGCTTAGCAGTTGAATGAAAAGAGTGGATTAAAAAAGAGTCAGAGATTGAGAGAAACTGAGAAGGAGCAGTTATGGGGTGGCATTTCAGTGAAAGTAAACTCTTGAAACTTTTTTAAATTATAAAAGCAATATGCTCCCATTGTAAATAATTAGAAAATAGTAAAGGAAGTAATAGGATTTGGCTGTGAACTTTATCAGCTTTACCATTTTAATCTGTCATGTCTTATTGTCCCCAAAAGTGCATTTCTTTTAGTTAAATGGAGAAGGAAAAAAAACGAGTTATATATTTTGTTTTCCGAAGATGTGATTTCTTATTTTAGGTTGCCGAGGAGCCCAAGTAGAAGAAATATGGAGTTTAGAGCCTGAGAATTTTGAAAAATTAAAGTAAGTATAATTTTAGTTGTGGTAAAAATAACGTCTATGCTTAAGCAAACTTTTCTCTGTTTATTTTACTTGGATTATCCTAGACTAAATACACTATATCCTTCAAATCTTTTTTTCAGTCCTGGCGAGATACGTATTATTCTCATTTTATAACTAAGAACCTAGACTTATAGAAAACTGATTTGCAAGAGATTAAAAATAGTCCTTGTAATTCCATATCAACAACATACTGATTGGTTGATTTTTTTACAACATTCACTTATTGATCAATAGGATTAGAACATGGAACACATTTTAACATAAATGACATGAATAAGAGGTCAGTCTACAAAACCATACTTAATAGATACTGTATATTAATAGTAATTTAGAACTTGTCTGTATCTAATCACATTGCTTTGGGGGAGGTTATAGTTCAGATTCAAAATGTAGATGCCAGGAAGAACCTTCCTCTTCCCTATCCTTCTGTGTAGAATGACCTCTCTGAGCCTCTCCTCACCCAGCCTCCATGCCCCCAAGCACTGACCCTGCGTCGTAGGTGGAGGACTAGAGAGGTTTTCACTGGTGGGAGAGTGCTTGAGATGAGGGCAGGAGCAGGCTTTTAGCAGGCAAAATGGGGACTCTTGGGCTATGGCTACTGTTTTTAATAGTGAGAAGGGGATAGTTTACTCCCCCCACCTTTCCCTTCCCCTCAAACACAGCGATCGCTTTAAATAGAATTAGAGATCAGGTCTGGCTGAGTGGTCAGGGGAGGTTAATTGAAATTGCATCATTTGAACTGCCTTTAAAGGATAGGAAAGGTTTCTGTTGCATGGAAGGCGGTTGTGAAAGATACTGGAGGGAGTCCTACCTCGAGCGGTGATTTTATGTTTCGTGGGCAACGGTGTTCCTTTAGGAAAGTGGATGACTTCTTTCTGAACGAGGTGGCAGCATCCATTCATATCATAGTTTGATGATTGTTCACGGACCCAGTAATTATGTGAAGATGGCTCCCTGTAATTCATAATACATACACTTTCAACCATTTACCTGTAAACACCTTAAGGGAACTTTATTCATGTTAGAGTTAACAGCTTCTTCTAGTTTCACTATATTCTTATTTTCTTCTTCTAAGTGAGCTGATATGAGGTAGAAATGAATACTCCACAGACTGAAGAATAAACTTTATAATTCTATTTTAACTGATTCAATTTTAAGTTTTATTAGCCTTGTCTTAGGCAACATTCCAATGACTAGACAGCAGTAAAAATCTTTAAAATTCTTTTGAACTTTCTTCATTTGCATTGTATTTGTTAAGAAGCTGACTAAAATTTAATGTATTGATAGTGTGTTATAAAAGAAGCAAGGTTTGTTATCACTAATTTGTATTTTATTTTGTAGGCCAGTTCATGGGTTAATTTTTCTTTTCAAGTGGCAGCCAGGAGAAGAACCAGCAGGCTCTGTGGTTCAGGACTCCAGACTTGACACGATATTTTTTGCCAAGCAGGTATGGTCGTTGGTATTCTGAAGTCTCGAGAGCAATCTTTTTTGTAAACTGGACTCTCTTCCACCTGTGTCTCTAGTGTAGCAGTCCTCAAACTTTTTTGCTTAGGACTCCTTTACATTCTTAAAATTGCATCAATTTTGAAGTAATAATACTGGCTGTCTTATGCTAATTATACGCTCTAATTAGAGAGATGCCTGTCTATGGATCATTGATTAATAAAATGTTGAGAAAAGAAATTGTTTTCTGGTAATTACAATTTGTGTATAAGTTCCAGGAAGGACAGTTTGGTAATGCTCGTCTGCAAAACATCATTGTCTAGTTACCATTTTACTGGTGAGAAAGCTAACGTCTGATGTACTTGTTTACGATCACGCTGCAGTGATGCTAGGTTTGTCTGACTTCTCCTGTTCAGTCTATCAGCAAAGAATGATTGTGACAGATACTGTGCTAGATGCTTGGGGAATGATAAACAGTCATGATCCCTGTCCTCAAGGTTGCGTAAAGTTTAGTGGAAAAGGGTGGTATTAATCAGTGAAATGTAGAAGCACAGTGGCGATGAGGGCCGCATGGAGCGAAGTGAGAACCATACTGCAAAGTTTGAAAAGTTTCTGAGACTGTCTATACTTCGAATGCCAACTGCAGAGTTTAGGGGCCCCAAACACCACGCTCAGGTTCTGTAATTTGCTAGAAAAACTCAGATTTCACCAAAGCTGTCATAGTTACAGCTCTGGTTTATTACAGTGAAAAAAGATACGTATTAATTTCAGCCCAGGCCAGAGACTCATGAGACAGTCCAGGAAGGCTCCATGCGCAGGGCCTACTTGTCTATTCCCAGTAGGGTCACAAATGGCGCTAACTTTCCTGGCAATAATGTGTGACAACATGTAGAGAGTATTGCCATCCAGGAAATCTCAACCAATTCTTGGTATCCAGAGTTTTTAGTGGCCTTCATCACATATACCTGGTTGGCACCCACGTGGCTGACCTCAGTCTCCAGCTACCCTTGAGGTAGAGCTGATACTGCTGACCCAAAACCCCACCCTAAGTCACACTGTAGACTGTCCATGTGGCCCGAAGCCCCAGGTAAACAAAGACACTCTGTGAGGCCAGGCTTTTCGAGAGCTGAGAGATCACCTTCCAGGAGGCAAGGACAAAGGCCAGATCCCTTTTTGTGCAAGATTAAATTCTTTACTGCACACTTAAAAATGGGACTTGGCCTCTTTAGGGAGATCTGAGAAAGCTTCTGCGAGTGACAATTCAGCTGAAATCTAGAGGTTAAGTAGGTATTAACTGAGGGAAAAAGCTTGAGGATCATCCTAGATTAATTACAGCTTTGTGGCCAAAAAGAATGAGACTAGTAAAACGTACTAAAAGAAGCCGGTGTAAGTAGAGCATAGCAAACAACAGGGCAATGCAGGCGGTGCATGAGATCTGGGGGTAAGTATATTAGGACGAGGCAGTTAGGTATATCTAACAACTGAAATATAATTGACATACAAAAAACTGCACATATTTAATGTATACAATTTGATGAGTTTGAAAGGAGTTTTTTTTTTTTCCTAATTCTTTTTAAGAAATTTGTGAAGATAATGGATTATAGATTTGAAGTCCTTAGATCATAGGAATGTTTGAGAGTATTCTCTGCCATAGTCTCAGCATCTGGCCTAGCATTGGGTACATATTATGTCCTTAATGTGCCATGATTTTGCAAGAATGTGTGAATGAGTATAAATTTTGTCATCTTCTAACTTCTGTCAACCCGTCCCCAGATAGTTTCATGCTAGATAATTTTGGCCACAGGTAAGGAGCACCAAGCCTTAGAAAGTTTTAGTTAACCACCTTTTTGACATCTCCTTTATAAACATTACATTTTTCATCCAAATTTACTAAAGAACTGATTCTGATCAAAATACATATTAAACAAAATCAGCAACAATGTTAATTGGATTTTAGATCCGTTACTTTTTTCTAATTTGTCAATTATAAGATAGTTTTAGTACAAAATACTGTTAGAGAAGAATTATGGAAGTGTGGTGGTGGCATTATATTGCTTGACAATTGGCAGTAAGATGGTGCTCCCTAATGGGGAAAGTAGTCTCATCAAGGAGTTTTCCCAGCAGATCGTAGTTAAAAGATAAGAACCGGTGGACAGTCACTAGTCTCTGGCAGCGTGAAAGTAGAGTATAGGAATTAAAAAGGGAAGATAATTGAAAATTTTGTCTTCTGAAATTTACCAAATCATAAAATCATAAATGAATTCTAGAACCAGACTTTCTGCCACTGACTTAGCTTTGTGCCCTATGGGTAAGTTACTTAACCTTTTAGTGCCTCAGCTTCCAAAAGTGTAAAATGAGCATAATAATATCACTCCTTCATAGGTCGTTGAGAGGATTAAAATAATCAGTATATGTGAAGTGCCTAAAAAAGTACCTGGCATGTAGTACGTGCAATCTCAATGTTTTCTCTTCTCACTACAATGTAAGGTCCACATAATCTATTAAATAGTCAGGTTAGATGACAACACTGTAAAGATTGTATGTGATGGAGTTGAAAAATAAATGTGGACAATTTATACCGTTTTTTAGGAATTCAAATGAGGGTAGAAACTAATATAAGTTGTTGAATAATTTCTCCAAAAGCCACATAGGTGAGTTGGAGCTCGCGCTGGGCGCTGAAATATGGGTTGAGTTCGAATCAGTAGAAATGCTTTGAGGGAAGAGAATAGGAGGGGAGGGAGGGCTATGCTTCATGTCAGGGACGACTGGTCTTGTTACCCTAACTGGGTTGGTTTTACTGATGTTATAAGTTCATTTAACTTATTTGGTTTCCTAGAATCTTCAGCTCCAGAATTGCAGCAAATTCCTGAAACTAGATTAGAATGGAAATTAAACTTGTTTATTATGTTTATGCTAAACTGCATGAAATGAAATCAGAGAACTATTCACTTTGTTTTGGGGGTTATTGTTATCAGTTAAAAGCTTTTTTTTTTAAACAAATTGATGATATCTTTGCTTTTATATTTTGTAGGTAATTAATAACGCTTGTGCTACTCAAGCCATAGTAAGTGTGTTATTGAACTGTACCCATCAAGATGTCCATTTAGGAGAGACTTTATCAGAGTTTAAAGAATTTTCACAAAGTTTTGATGCAGCTGTGAGTACAGTCTTATTCTTCCTAAAATGCCCTATTTGTGATAGTTCTTATTTTAATGGGCTACTTTTAAACATTATTGCAGATGAAAGGTTTGGCACTGAGCAATTCAGATGTGATCCGACAAGTACACAACAGCTTCGCCAGGTAAAGAGACTGTTTCATAAACCTTGTTTCTTTCTTTGCTTGTTTATTTGTCTCTCACTATTTTTTCTTCACTGTAGACAGCAAATGTTTGAATTTGATGCAAAGACGACAGCAAAAGAAGAAGATGCTTTTCACTTTGTCAGTTATGTTCCTGTTAATGGAAGATTGTATGAATTAGACGGATTGAGAGAAGGACCAATTGATTTAGGTAATCCATTTCCCATTCCTGGTATTTCACTTGAGAGAAGGAAAGAAATACTGGGCGTGCACCTCTGTCTTAACCACAGTGCTGCTTAAATTTTGAAGGGAAGGTGACAACAAGGTGGTATAATACCATGAAGGCCTTAAGCTCTTCAGCACTTTATGAAATTAGCAAGTAGGAAGGACGTGTTGACTACAGTAGTTCAAATGGAACCTTTAATTTTTTTGTAAGAGAAAAACATTTTTAACCCATGAATTAAGTTATTTTTTATTTTCCAGTTAACTTAAAAACTACTTCATCTATTGAACTTGTTATTCTTCTCATTTTTAACCTACTGATAAGGAATAGTAAGCATTTCCTATCATGTTACACTAAAATATTTTCATTTGCAATTCGTTCGTTCAAATCACTTAAATTCAGTGTTTAACAATCTATAAAAATATATTTCTTCAAAGTTTCTTTTTGAGTAGTGCACTACTGTGCTTTCCTTTGTGCCAAAGGATAGATTTATCCTGATCCCACCCTGTATCTAACCTCAAGCAAAAATGATTAATGGTTATTGAGGGAGAGGGTACAATTTGTGGTTTTGACATAGTCCTGAAATAATAGGCCCACAGAAGAATTTTAACTCCTTATTTTTTACCTCATTAAATTTTCTTTTTCTCTCTCTTTTTTAAGTCCATTTATAAGTCCAACTAAACTTTTTATGTTGAATCTAATGTGATCTGCTATTCATAAAACTTTATCCTTTTGGATTAAAAAAAGTTAACGTAGTTTCATTTTGTTCGTACTTTTTGACCTTGCCCATGTATAGAATCAGTGGTTTATCTAATGCTGATTTACATATTATCTCACTATTTAAAGATATTTTTCTGTGTCTGTTATAGAAAATGAATAGAATGTTCTTTCAATTCTGTAGAAGTTGATTTTCCCTAGATTGGTGGTTGATCTGATCTCTGTATTTTCTCTGTTGGCTTCTATCCGGTCAGCCATTCATTTATTAGAACCATCAAATATAAAAGAAGTAAAAGATGAAAGGGAACAGCCAGTTTTACTAAACAGCTTGTGGCTATGGTTGAACTTGTGAAAAAGAAGAATAAAACAACTGGGTAAAATTGGTTTTGCATTATGTGTGGATTTTAATTTTTTATTTTATAGTTATGGTGGTGGGGAGGGAGACAGATAAGATTAAATCCTTATTTTGCCACTAACATGGGGGCTGGTTTTTCTTAGCTGTCGGTTTCATCATCTGTAAAATGAAGATAGTTATCCTTATTTCACAGAGTTATGAGTTTTAATGATATAACTCCCTAATTCATTACCTTCATTTGTTCAATACTTATTAAATGATGAAATAATATGGCAATGTGAGTTAGTGATAATGCTCTTTCCCCTTATTGTTACTAAGAAAATAAGAATTGAGGCTGAAAATAGCTATGCTGAAAGGATTTTTACCATGCTGAATTTCCTAAAATATTTATGAAAAGAGATATTTTTGACCAAACTTTTGAAATAATGTTAATGTTGATTTTATTTAAATGCTTTTACATTTCTAGGTGCATGCACTCAAGATGATTGGATCAGCGCTGTGAGGCCAGTCATAGAAAAGAGGATACAAAAGTAAATAAATGCTCAGCTAATCTCGTTGTCATCAGGTTCTGGTTTTTATACATCTTTAAACTTTTATTTCATTTTTATTTTAGCAATGCTTATTGAACATCTACCTTTGACTGTATTATTGTGTTCAGGAAACCTATTTTAGAAATTCTCTAAATTCTACAGAATTTAGATGTTTTGTAGAGTTACTTTGTAGAGTTCTTTTTGAGCATCTATTTTTTTATTAAGCTTTTTGAGATAATTATATATTCACATTCAGTTATAAAAAGAAAACAGAGGTCTCCATCGATCTGTGTCAGTACTAGTTTTGATTACTATAGCTGTAAGTCTTGAAATTAGGTGGATCGATGCATACAACTTTATTCCTTTCCTTCAAAATTGTTTTAGCTATTACGTGGTATACAGTATCTGATGAACACTCTCACAAGATATTGATCTAAAGACAATAATAAGATAACTCAGGTCTAAAAAAATTGTTTTAGCTTATCGTTCTTCTGCCCTCCCATATAAGTTTTAGTATAATCTTGTCTATATCTGTACACATTCTTGTTGGGATTTTGATTGGAATTATGTCGATATTTATATTAATTTGAGGAGAACTGGCATCTTTACTACATTGAGTCTTCCCATCCATGAACCACAGTGTATCTCTCTATTTACTTAGACCTCCCAGAGAATTATAGGGTCATCACAATAGGTTACCTTAATTGTAATGGTGTTATAATTCTTTATCATATTATAAACTTCAACTTTTTTTTTAGGTACAGTGAAGGTGAAATTCGATTTAACTTAATGGCCATTGTGTCTGACAGAAAGATGGTATATGAACAGAAAATAGCAGAGTTGCAGAGGCAGCTTGCCGAGGTTTGTGGCAATGTTTTTATGTTCAAAGTTCTAGCTTCGTTATTCTCTCAGGGAAAGTACTCTTTTTTTCCTCCTTTTTTTTTTTTTTTTTTTTTTTTTTTTTTTTTTTTTTTGTAAAATGTTTTTAATCTGGTGTCCTGAGTGGTGGTTAAGAGAGTACACTCTGGAGTCAGGTTACCCAGACTCAGCTTCTGGCATTGCCACTTAGTGGGTGTATGGATTTGAGTGGGTTTTTTTTGTGCCTCAGTTTCTTCATGTGAAATGAGGATAATAGTGTTTACCTTATAGTGTTGTTGTGAGGCCTAAGTGAGATAACATATGTAAACAACTTTAAAGAATGGCAGATAGTAAATGCTAAATAAGTGTTAACTACCTACTGTAATTTTGTTATGTAATTAAGCAAGTTAGAATATGTTTCTTACAGAATTTATTGAGTACATTTCAATTCACATATACTTTTACTAGTCTTTACTACCGATTACCTTTCTGTAGTAAACATGATTGGAGAAGAGACTTAGTAATAGACAAAAAGACCTTATTTATGTTTCTTTGATCACGTTTTCTTAAGAGTATGTGAAAGCAAATTTATAGCTGAACAAAGTTTATAGCAAAACAGTATATTAAATTATAGATTGTTTTCAAATAAACGTGTTATTGTAGAACAGAAATATGGAAGGCACTTCTCAGGGATTTTTATCCTTTAATATTACAATTAGGCTGGTATTCTGTCACCGTATTAAGAGTAAAATTTGAAAAAAATTGTACTATGTTTATCATTTAAAAATATCGTGAACTTAAGCCTCAATTATTAGGGTGTATTTTTTTGTTTTTTTTTCTTTCTCCTAAGGAGGAACCCATGGATACAGATCAGGGTAATATGTTAAGTGCTATTCAGTCAGAGGTTGCCAAAAATCAGATGCTTATTGAAGAAGAAGTACAGAAATTAAAAAGATATAAGGTATTTTTTTTTATTTGTTCCTTTAATGTTTTAATGTAGAGTGGTATATTTTGACATGAAGATATATTGAATGCTTGATTTTTTTTTTCTGCCATCATTTACTAGTTTTCAGAATAATGAGTTGATTCTGTGGAACCCTACAAATGTTATCTCTGAGGTTTCTTTTTTTTACATTTTTTAAAAGTATTATTATGAACAGATTTTTAACATATTTGGTGCTCCAGTTCACTGCAGTTATTGATGCTCAAATTGTCCAACCTTTGGCCATAAGGAGCCACTTCAAGCTTGTCTCCTGAGTCCTTGACATGACTCTTCACCTCTGGTAGCTTCCTTGCTTTCTAGATGTCAAGATGTTTCAAACCCATCTTGTATAGTTCCTGCTTCAGACTCAGAATCAGCCATTTTTTTAAGAAGTCCAGGTACTTTGGGGGCAGTAATATTTAGGAACCACTGTCTGAGGGCTCAGAGTGCTGAGTGACACTTATCAGTCAGTATTTCTAGGCCTTTTCAGGGCTAAGAAATACATTTCTATTTTTGTTTCATTTTTTAATAGAAAATACAACATGAATTCATATTAATACTCAAACTTAGGCTTAAAGGGCTTTCTACTTGAAATTAAGCATTTGTATCTTTTCTCTTAAGCTGAAAATATTAGTTCCTAACAACAATAACATAACTACTTATTTGCTTTATGCTTCATATATATAGCATTTATATATATAAGTAAATATTTTTATGCTTTATATTATGTGTAGAATGCTCGTATATGTATGTATATGTGTGTGGGTACATGCACACATGTTATATATAGAATGTGTGTATATATACACACGTACATGTAGAATGTTATATGTTACACATAGAATGCATGTATATATGTATTTGTGTATTCATACACACACACAGGCCATATATAAAAGTTCAGAATAACAATACCAGTAGTGTTAGTAACCACCGAAAAGTTTTTTCTTAATTTTTTTCTTAGGATTTATCCCATTTTAGATGAACAACCAAATTACTATGTTTTTAAATTCACTTGAAAAAATTTTCTCATGGTGTGGTTCTATTACTTGGTACACAAGTGAGTTTGTTTTACTTTGCTTTCCAAGTTTTTAGGTTTAAAATTTTTTTGATTTAATTATGTCAAATAATTTAGAGCCAAATATATAAAGCAAGACTATCTTTAATAATGTCTTTCTCCTTCACTTGCAGTCTGTCTGAAAAGCTTTATTCAGAGAGCAAAGAGTGAAAGGAAGTTTGAATTTTGAATGACTTTGGAAATAGTATTTAAGTCATTTGTCATGCATGTCACAGTAGAAAAAGCATTGTTATTTATTTGAAGCTCATTTGAAGGCAAGGAGTGTCCTTTTTTCTTTTTATTGCTCACTACAGTGTCCACACAATGCTTTGCACTATACTTAACAGTCAGCAAATGACTGCGAAATAAAATAAACAGACTTTGAATTAGCAGGATTTCTTTAGATGGAAGTGTTAAGGGCTTGATCCAGAGTATTCCAGGCAGGAAAAAGGGGGGCCAAGTTCTTGGATACAGGAATGTAAGGGATGAAAATCTGAATGTTTATCTGCTACTTTATGTGCTATAAAAATATAACTATCTATCATTTCTGTATTATGCAGGGTTGTTACATAATTAACTAAGTTTTAATATTTGTCTAAAATTAAACACAAACTAGGTTTTCAGAATCTACCTGGTACATTGTTTGAGAATGCTTTGCTTTAAAAATGTAAAATGATTCTCATATTAATATAAAACGAACATCCGTTAAGATTTTATTTAATTTATTATTAATTGAGGGACTCTAGAAGATATCACAGCTAGTTCAAATGAGAAATCAAAGAAGCTCAAATTTATATGAAGTAAAAGAATGTTGAAATGAATTTACAAAAGATGGACACTTTTTATCCGTGGGAGAAGGGAAGTAAATTGAACCTCTGCCAGGTAGTAGCTAATAACTCAGTGGCAGTGAAAGGCTAGAATCATGTAACTTTGGAGGGCGGGCTCTAGACAATGCGTGGTTTTCCATTTAAACAAAGATTGTTTTCCCCTACAGCCTACCCCCTTTGGATCAAAAATAATTCAAAGAAAGATTAGTCTTGATTACAAAATAAAGCTGGTCTCATTAGGCTTGGCCTGCTAATTGCATAGTAAGTAGCAAGGGTACTAATCAATCATGTGGGCCTTCTTAAATTTGCTTTCATAAGTCATTTAAGTTTTTATGAATAATGTTAGACTTCTAAAAGCCTGTTATTTGTTAAGCCAAGAGTAGAAGGTGACACCCAAGAAACTCTCTACATGTTTTTTTTTATTGTATTAGTCTTTATTCTCAGTGGGAACGGAATATCATTATTTCAAGTATTTTTTCTTTGAGAATGGATGGTTTTCTCCCATTTCTATTTTGAGTTGGATGCAAAATTAAAATGTCAGAAACTTAGTGGAAAATGTAAAGTTTGTGCGGTTTTATATTTGTTTTGTTTTCAGATTGAAAATATCAGAAGGAAGCATAATTACCTGCCCTTCATTATGGAATTATTAAAGACTTTGGCAGAGCATCAGCAGTTAATACCACTTGTAGAAAAGGTAAGGATTTTAGTTGTGATTCGTTAGATTCAGATTGCCGTCAGACAAACTTTTTTTTTTTTTTTTGGCTTGATTAGAAGTAAAATTTATTGAAACTTTTTTTATTTTATTTCTGAAAGTGACCATCACTAAATACTCTTTACCTATGGTTTTATATTCTAGATGAGCATGAGTTCAACCTGATATTGTAAAATGAAAATAAGGGATTGTCCCATCGCTTTAGCCTTCAAGAACCCTTAGTGTCACAACTCAGGTTGTGCTATATTAGAATAAAATTTAAAACTTTTTCTTTTCTTTAAAAACAAATTTTAATGTTAATTGAGATTTTTTTTTCTTATTTAACAAAATTTTGAGTTATCATAGAATTTAGCACTAAATGGACATTGAAGGGGGGAAAAAATGTAGCCAAGAGTAAGAAATAGGTGTTTCTATTCCTAAGCTAGTATTCTTTCCACTGAGGGGGTATTAGCATAGGTTAGTGAAAAAGTCTAAGATATTTTTCCTTTAATATGAAGCACTTAAGTAAAATATTTGTTGAATCAATAAAATGCAGTTAGATTGTTTTTATATTTATACTGTAAATCAGTGTTTTCTGAAAGTGACCATCACTAAGTACTCTTTAAAATATATGTTACCTAGCCCTTCCCCAAATATTCTGATATAGGGAGAGGAATCTTTAATAAGCACCACCCCCACCCCACACACACACATGATTCTAATGCGGCTGGTCTCTTACCACATTTTGAGAAACACTGAGAGGGTACTACTAGGCAAATAAAATTTTGGACCATTAACTTAAAGACCAGAGTACATGGTAGGTACACTTTTCTTATTAAAATTTATGAAGATACAATTCAACCCAGCTGTTTTATATTATCATAAATTCTAAATAATATGAGATGTGAGTTAAGGTTTTGTGTATACATACCTTATTACCCAGGTCTTGAAACATGTGCTGCGACTTGTAGTATTAAATATACAAAAATTATTGCACAATACTGATACATCTTTTCTGTGTAGGTTTTTCTATTCATGTATCTCAGGGTATTACAATTACAAAAGTCCATGATAGGAAACTTATTTTTAAAGTTTTAGATTAATAGGGTCCTGTGATCCTCAGACATGCTCAGTTAACAGTACCTAGCTATTGTGTTCTTTGTATAAAACACTAGGAAATATTTCTACACTAAAATATTAAAATTGTAATGTAGACTATTGTGCCAAATCATATGATATATCAGATTTTATGTAAACATAAATACTATTAGGGACCAGACAAATGTCATCAGAGAAATTTTAAATGTATATATTTTGCTTTAAAATTGCTGTAAATTTTTTTGTGCAAATTAGGAAAAGAGCAATTCTTATTTGATTGTAATAACAGTGCATCCCCAGATTGTTAAAAACAAAGCACAGAGAACAGCTTTTCAGCTTTTGTATTAGAACTATAAATCCTTGGTTCCCATTGTCTTGGACACAGGGTGGCAGTATATGACTGCCTCGTGTGAGTGGGACACAAACCCAGTCTGTTCCTGTGTTGCGTTGGTTTTATCGACGGGGTGGTTACTCTCCATTTCTCCAAATTGCCTACTTCTCCAAAGTGTTCCTTGATTATTAATATTGCATATACAATAGTGAGATACCTTTATTTCTCATATATATGCAATAATCGTAATCTCCCTAGATTATGAAGGAAGTTCTGATTGATTAATTAAAATTTTTGAAACATTTTATTATTCATCATTTACCTAGCTGCAGCTTTATTCCAGGCACTCTGTTAGAGTCTGTGGCTATACACACGAATAAGACACATCTTTTCTCTTAAGCAACTCATGATGTAGTTGGGGGAAAAAAATTATGGTACTGTGATATTATGTTAAACTCATTAAACTATTATGTCAAACTCATTTACTTAAATATGCAGAAACTAATGGAGAATTTTTTTTTTAACTCAATTTGAATGAGAAGTGGGCACATATGTAAATATACTGTTTTAAAATATGAATGAGTATGACTTTGGAATGAATAATTACATATTTTAAAGTAATAACACATTTCAACTTCAGATAAGAGCTACAAACCATACATCATTTTTCCTTACAGTTGGCAAAGTGTGACTATATAATTGTCCAGGAGTAGTCTGTTTCAAGTCTCATAGTATTAAGGATGATCCTCTAGAAATCTTATAAACAATGCATTTCAAACCTTTTAGCTTACAAATGCCCTCTTACATTTTATTTTAATATGATCTAAAATAAACTTTTAAGATTTTATAGCATACTATCTTTCATTTCTAGGCAAAAGAAAAACAGAATGCAAAGAAAGCACAGGAAACCAAATAAAGAAGCTGCTTTGGGATGTGTTCACATTTCTGCTTCTGCACCTATTTTCATGGAAACATTAAGTATAAAGAACTTTGAGCAACACCCTAAGTGACTCAGTGCACGTTTGGCAGTAGTACCAGTCTGTCTTGTCTTTAATGCATGGATTCATAAACTTTTTCCCTACCTGCATCATGTGCATGTAGTGCATCTTAAATAAAAGCGATATGAAGAGTGCTTTCCCAAATTCCATTATTCGACAATGGATCTGAGAACTTCGGTTGGTTCTCTGGGTGTACAACTACCGTAATGAACCTAGAAAATGCACAAATGATATTCTCTATAATTGTTATAATTAATCTTTCGATCTTTTAGCTCAGTTAAATGTTTAAAATTTATAAATGTCAGATCTTGATTAAACTGGATCTCTTGTTCTCATTAATGGAAAAAAAAAATCAGTATTTCTGTCTTTGATATCTAAATATTTTGAGGATTTAAAAACTGAATTTTATCTCTTTTACCAATTACTTGAAAAAAATATGATTTTACTGCAGATCATTTGAAAAGGACAAAAGTACAGTTTCTAGTGATTTTCATTGCTGCCAGTCGAAAAAGTAATAAACATCTCAATTTTATTTTCGCAAACTTTCTTTAAGTGTTTGAGATTATTTATTTATGTATTGTAGAATTGTTTCAGGAAGGTGTGAATATCACTTTCAAAGCAAAATTTCAGGTTAAGAACAAATTATAGATCTTAAAGATTTTAGGTGTTATTCTCAGTTTGGCAACATTTTTTCAAGCTGTTAAATTGTATCTTTATAAAAAATTCAGGGTATCTGCTTTTTCAAAAAAAGACGGTGGTGGGTCTCTTACATGCCAGTTCAAACAAAATTCGTAAAGATCATAATTTCTAAGAGTCATGTACAGTTTGCTTACAATGGAGTTTTTTTTTCCGCATTGCTTTTGGGAATTACTTTGGTTTTTTTATTTTATAAAAATAATATTGTATTCTTGCTTCTTATCTTTCCCAAGTTTAAAAGAAATTTTATAAAATTTCTTTTTATAAAGGAAATAATCTTTTTTTTTAAGGCACATTTCTGAAATTGATACATAACTTTTTAACATTTTATTATGGAAAAGTTTAACCATGTGGGGAGACTGTACCCATCTTTTACCCTCAAACACATGAATTTTTTTTTTCTAATTTAAAGACATTCTTTATTGGGTAGTAACTTTCAACAAAATAAACATATTATTCTAAGTTAATTTACACATTTAATGCAACCCATTAAAACACTCACAATTAAAAACCCCTTTATTATGAAATAATTTTAGATTCTAGGAAGTTGAAAAATAGTACAGAGAGGTTGAGTGTACCCTTAACCCAGTTACCTTCAGTATTACAATTTACATAACATCAAAACCAGGAAAGTGATGCTGACACAGTGCTCGTGTGTGTCTCAGTGCCATTTTGTCACGGTGTAGATCTGTATAACCACCACTCCAGTCAAAATAAAAACTATTCCTTCACCACAAAGATCTCTCTCTCGCTTCTCCCTCACACTTGCAGTCATTCCCTTCCCCAACCATCCTTAATGGATCACAGACCTAAATGTCATAACTAAAGTATACAGCTTTTTCAGAAAAATATAGGCGAATATCTTTGTGAGTTGATGATAGCCAGAGGTTTCTTAGGTCACAGAAGGCCATAACCATAAAAGATCCAAAACTAGTGTTCATCAAAATTAAAAAACTTGACACGACAAGACACTTTAAACAAGAGTAACTTCTATTCTATGACATTTAAAAAGAGCTTTATAAAACAAGTGTGTTAAGACATATAAGGAATTTTATCAATCTGGTTTCAATAAAATTCCTTGATAGACATTTTCATAGCTTAACAATGGTTTACTTTATCTGCTTCTTTAATGATTGCAAATGCATTGTGACCCTTCATGATAATTTATTCCAGTGAATAAAGAAGTATGTCCTTCTCTGGGTCCTAAGTCATGATGCCAGTGGGTAGTGAAAATGGGGGAATAAAGGGCAATCTAGAAATATATATGTTAGTTATGTGGAAAGTTAAAAAAAAAAAAATCTGCTTTGCTTATTTTACTTTTACCCTTTTCTGAATTCTCATTTACTGGTTGGGGCATTAAATGGAAGGTGAAGACCCTTCCATTCTGTTTTATGCCTTTTAAAACAGCCGATTCTAAGGATATACTTCTGTTAGTATAAACAAAGCAAGCTTGCCAACGGCTGTGGCGCTGGCTAGTCTCACCTCATATGTTTAGTTCCCAAGACAGCTGCCCTGTTCCAGCACAAAGCAGTCAGCTTGACTGTGCCACTAGAATAGACAAATATTTGTTCTCAGATCATGAACTATGGGAACTCACTCCCTTATTTAGACCATGATGCATACTTCTGGGTGTGCTATGGCGTTAGACACAGACGAATATCTGTAGTTAATCCTCTTAGTTGCCTAAAACATTTCAAGATACATTCAGAAATTTTTTTTTCTGTAGGAGGAGATTTTTTTTCTTTTGTTTGAGGAAGAAATGACATAAGATTTTCCCTTAGAAAATTTAAAGAACGGTAAGCAAAAATAAAATTTAAATCACCATATATCTACATTAACATTTTCATATGTTCAGTGATCCTTTTTCTCATGTTTATACACATTTTTGTTCGTAATTCTTGCATTCTCTCCCTACATTCTAAAATAGATTTATGTAGCATAAATTATTTTTAAAGTTGATGACATGCAATTTAACATTTTTATATCATTGACGTCTTATAGAAAACAAACCACCCTAGCTATTTCAAGAATGGGGGTTAACATTGGAAGTTTCGAAACTACTTAGTTCCTTACAAAGTCATTGTGAAGTGTGGAGGAGTGAGCTCAAGTTTGGGTCTCCAGCAATGACTCCCAGAGAAACTGCTACTTCTGCAATTTTAAGGGAGCTCGCTGTTGGAATTACTGATGTTAGAACGAGCTGTAATTGTGTTCAGGGAATGAAGAACCTGCCACAACTCTGTTGGCACCTGGTGATTCTATACCTGAATGTAGAAAAGTTCCACCTCTCCATGGCTAGGCATGGCACTCAGAAAAGCTACGCTTCTGCCTTGCTTTTGACTTTCACACCTTATAGTAGTTTTTCTGCAGAAGAATCTGGGAAATTCGTTTCTAGCTTTCTAGTCTCTGCAGCAGAGGGAAGGCATTCTAGGAGGAGGATATTGGAATGGATGCTGAGTGCAAATATACTCAATCACACATTATACACTTCTTCACTAAAACACATTTTTTCCCCCTTTTTACCTAAGTACTACATGTTTATTTTAGGGAAATGAGCAAATACAGAGAAAAAATTTTTACAATATGGCTGGCTCGTGGACCAGTGGTAGAAGTCTTTGAAAAGCAATTTGGTGATTCTCAAAATTTAAATGGCACATATACTTCATAACAATTGCACTTCCAAAAGCCATATTACAGAAACATTCACACAACTATATAAATACATGTATACAAGAAAATTCATCAACATATTAATTGTAATAGCACATAATAGGCAACTTAAAAGCACAGCAATAGGGAATGAGCAAATAAGTCACAGTATGTTGGAATACGATGTAATCGCTGGGAAGAGTGAGATGAATTTCTACATACTAATGTGGAAGGATGTCCATAATATATTTTCGAGGAAAATGAAAGTTGCATTATAGTATGTAGTATGAATCTATATTCTGAAGAAAAATCTTGTATGTCTATATATAATATAAAAATATTTGAAAGTATCACACCAAATTCTTAACAGCTACTAGTCAGAGGCTTAGAAGTGGAAAGTTGAAGTGGGAAATTTTTCATGTTAAATTTGTAGGTTTCTGAAGTGATTTAATTTTTTTCCTGCCAAGATATATATTTTATATATATATATTTTAAATATATATATTTTATATGTAAACAATAAGTAAATCATATCAATAAATTAGCCAGTTATTCTTATAACGAAGTATTGGTAGGATTTCTTTCCATAAGATGCAGCTGAATAAGGACAAAGCATAAATGAATGCCCTTTATACATGTGTATATGAATATATATATACACATATATTTATAACATTTGGATAATATTTATTGTATAATCTAAGGCATACCTATAATGCTTTCCTAGCAATAATAATACTGCTGATTACGGGGTACTCCCCACTAGTGGCCATTCTAGCCTTTTAAATATTTTATGTTACTTTCTACCTCCTAGTTAATTTTTTCCTCTGAATCAAACCATCTATAACCTGCGTACTCAGAGTGTGGCCCTTAGAGACCAGCACCATCAGTATCACCTGGAAGCTTGTTAGAAATGCAGAACCTTCTTGCCCCAGATCTTTAGAATCAGAATCTGCATTTTAAGAGGATGCCCAGTTGATTGCTAGGCATACGAAAATTTAACAAGCACAACAACCTCGTGTTATTTTACTATTCAGGGAAATGATGTTTTCACAATCAGTGGGCATGGCGCTTTATTTTCTGCACGTAGGAAATTAGTTTTAGGATTTTTACAGTTTGGATAGGAAAATGCAAAAGTACAATCTGTGAGAAAATTTATTAGGAATAAAATGTAAAACCATTCTCGATGTGCCAGGTACCCTCCTAAGTATTTTTGTTAACTCTAAGCCTCACAAGATGTGAAGTAGATCCTGTTATCCCCATTTTTCAGATGTGGACCCTAAAGCATTAAGAAAGTTACCGGCTCAATTTCACACAACTAGTAAGTGGTAGACCTGGGATTCAGACACAAGCTAACCGGCTCCTGAATTCATTCATTCATTCCTTCTTGCTTCCATTCACTCCCTTCTCTCTCTCTTACTCTCTCCTCCTCTTCCTCCCTCCCTCCTTCCCTCTTCACCTCCCCGATTCTTAAAGGTGAAAGTTGCCCATTATGAACAGAATCATACAGTGGAGGTGGTCATGTGAGAAAGCAATCTATCTCTGGATTTATTAGAACTTTGATTAGGACATTGATAAACTTTCTCCAGCTTATTAAAGAATGCACAGACTAACTGGTAGCCATGAGCTCTGGGACCAGTGCCTCTCCGTGGGCTGGTAATTACAATGTTTGCAATGAGAAATTAACAGACTCTCCTACTTGGGCCTCCCAGGCTGTGTGTCTCCTAATGAGGTTACCGAGGTCCAAGATTTGCCCTTTCAGCTTATGATTTCAGGCATTGAGAGTACACTCATTAAAAGTGATAAGGATATTGGTTAATTGAGACAACTTAATAAAACTTGCAGGAGACTAACGTACGCCAGAAAGATAACTTATTAATTTACTTCGCAATTATAACTGCCAAGCAGAACAGACATTCCTAGCAGCCTACATTCTCTCCTTGGTAGATCAATTTACCAAGGAAACCAAATTAAGACCAGAAGGTTGGCTGACTATAGGACTGGTCCGAAGGAAATTGTTTTTTAGAGATTGCTGGCTGTAATAGCCTGTGGCATGTTTTGTAATACTAGACACCAACTGCAACCAAGTCTGCCTGTACATTACACACCAACTTGATCAAAAAGGTTAACTGCCTCCTTTTTCTACATATTGCTGGAGACACAATAAGAAAATTTTAAACAATTATCACTTTGACATCTTTTCAC